GGGGGAGGAATGTGTTACAGACAAGTGCTTTGAAGTAGCTCACTTACAAAAAATGACAAAGCTAAAAGCAATTGAAACACATAGGATTAAAATTATGTCACACTTTGTTCAAGCAAACGAAGTTTCAGGGATGGCAAAAGCGTACACAAACAATTAGCTTACAAAATCACAGATTATTTTGTTTCGTTTTGAATACCATTTTATAGCCCTCTTCAATTATGTATAAATTTCAGATTCCAAAAACCTGAATCATTATAACAGAAAATTATTAGTGATTTATGTTAAATGTCTTATAAACGGAAAAACAAAACTAATCTACGATTCGGAAGATGAACGTTGGCGTAAGAATCGTCCAAATTTACTGAAACTTTATTGAGTTTGAACAACATATATATATTTATCCTTATGCGTTCAGTTGCAATTTATTGGTGCCGTTTTGGCGCAAGCTATTTCAAAATAGTTCTCGGTTACAAAATTTTTTACTCTAACAACGATTATGATTTACGAAAATTTAACTGTAATAACGTAAATGGTTTGAACCCGGACGTATCGTTACATGTTTCTAGATGTAGTGTCATGGTTAGTAGAGTCCTGAGAAAAATAACTTGACTTTAAAGATGACTACTGCTAAGGAAGTCAAAACGTCAGTCAACATTAATAACTGTAATAACGTAAATGGTTTGAACGGACGTATCGTTACATGTTTCTAGATGTAGATCGTCATGGTTAGTAGGAGTCCTGAGAAAGGCAACTAAATTTTGAAGGTGACGACTGGGAAGTCAAAACGTCAGTCAACATCAATAACTGTAATAACGTAAATGGTTTGAACCCTGGCGTATCGTTACATGTTTCTAGATGTAGATCGTCATGGTTAGTAAAGTCTTGAGAAAGTCAACTGACTTAGAGGTGACGACTGCTAAGGAAGTCAAAACGTCAGTCAACATCAATAACTGTAATAACGTAAACGGTTTGAACCCTGGCGTATCGTTACATGTTTCTAGATGTAGATCGTCATGGTTAGTAGAGTCTTCAAAAAGTCAACTTGAACTTTGAACTGAATTCATTATGAAATTTAAATATACGTAAATGTGTAAATAAGTATGCCCATTATTTAAGGAGTCTTTGCATTGAACTCCAGCAGTGTTGTGTAAAACCTCCTTAGGTTTGTATATAGAAGATTTAATAAATATTTGATAAAACTTTTACATCAATTTACACAACGTTTTGACACCAATCCTAACGCTCAAGACGCTGCTAGATCGTGGTTGCACTGGTTTGCTACTTTCCAAAACTTTGTAGCTGCTATACCGAACGAAGAAGTGAACAAATTAAAGGTTCTAGTCAATTATGTTTCTGCCGACGTTTATCAACTTTTCTGTGAAGCGACAACCTACGAGGAAGCTATAGAAAATTTAAAAAAATCTCTATGTTAAGGTTCCTAATGAGATATTTTCGCGACATAAGTTGGCTACTCGTAAACAACAATCTGGCGAGAGCCTGGATGAGTATTTGCAAGAATTAAAATCGCTAAGCAAAGATTGTAATTTTCGTAGCGTGACATCAAATCAGTATCAAGACGAAGCTGTACGAGACGCGTTTATAGCAGGTCTTCGTTCAACTAACATCCGCCAACGTCTTCTTGAGAATAAAACATTAGACCTTCAGACAGCTTTTGATCAAGCCCGAGCCTTAGATACAGCACAGAGAACTTCTGAAACTTATGCAAACGGAATTCCAATAACAGCGGCTGCTCTATCAAACAAGAACGGGGAGAATTCGTTTATTAATCAACGGGCATTCGAAAACCAAGATAAAACCGATCAATCTGACGGCCATCAAGAGAACAACGGCATAGAATGGTACGTTGCCGCCTTTTCTAGATCAGCGAAATGTTTCTTCTGCGGTAATCGACCACACCATCGTTCCGCATGCCCAGCTAAAGACGCCTATTGTTATAAATGTAAAAAGAAAGGACATTTCCAAAGAGTATGTAAATCGGTCGCTCCTCAGGCTTCGTATATAGCATTAGCATCAACTAAACATACAGTAGCAAAGTCACTAAAGAAAGCCTGTATTGATGTCTTGATTAATGGAAAATCTTGCGAAGCTCTAATTGATTCGGGAAGTACACATAATTTTATACATCCTAAAGTTGCAAGTAATCTGGGATTGAACATTTATACAACTCAAGAGAAAGTAACAATGGCTGCATCCTCGTTTTCTTCTAAAATTCAAGGCTATTGTCTTGCCGATATTATACTTAAAGAGCGAGAGTATGCGAAAGTAAAACTGTTCGTCTTAACAAATTTATGTACGAACGTGATATTAGGACAAAATTGGCAGGAAAACATGAAAGCATAATTATTAGTATGGGGAAAATCGCCCTCTTTAACGATATGTGGTTTATCAACTATAAATATAGGGCCACCGCCGTTGTTTCAATTTTGTCTGAAGATTGTAGACCGGTAGCTGCAAAATCACGAAGATACAGTGCCGAGGACAGAGCGTTCATCGCAACGGAAATGTCGAAATTGCTTGAAGAAGGATTATTGAAGAAAGTGACTCTCCCTGGAGAGCCAAGTCGTTGTAACCAAGAACGAAAGACAAAAGAAAAGGCTAGTAATCGATTACTCTGAAACAATTAATAAGTTTACTCAGTTGGACGCTTATCCGATGCCAAGAAAAGATGATACAGTAAACCCAGTTGCACAATATAGTGTCTTTAGCACTGTAGATCTTAAAAGTGCATACCATCAAGTACCTGTCAAAAATAAAGAGAGAAAGTACACGGCTTTTGAAGCTAACCATCGACTTTATCAGTTCCGTAAAATCCCATTTGGTGTAACTAATGGAGCGGCGGCCTTTCAACGATCAATGGATACTTTCATATCCGAAGAAGCCTTAGAATACTTTCGCGTATTTAGACAATATTACTACATGCGGTTACAATCAGGGCATCATGATAAAAATTTGGAACTTTTATGAAAGCAGCGGAAGCGTAACCTAACATTTAATGAAAGCAAGTGCGTTTTCGGTAACTTCAATTAGTATACTCGGAAGTGTTGTATCTCAAGGAGAGATTAAGCCAGATCCGGAGAGACTAAAACCTTTGCGGGGCTGCCAGCCCCACGTGATGCAAAAGCTCAAAGCGTGTCATCGGTTTGTTTTCATATTACTCCCAATGGATTAAAGATGGAACTTTCTATGTATGATTTTGACATAGTATATAGAACAGGAGAAGAAAATATACCAGCGGATACCTTATCGAGTGAAGGTTATGTCGCTTACTGGATAAACTTTTCGAACTTCATAAAGCACTGTGTCATCCTGGAGTATCTCGCATGAGTCATTTTGTAAAAAGCCGAAATTTACCATTTTCGATAGAAGAAATTAAGCGCATGACTGAATCATGAGAGACTGCCGAGAATAAACCCCAATACTATCGACCTGCACAGTCATCTGATAAAAGCAACACAGCCGTTTGAAAGACTGAACGTAGATTTTAAAGGTCCGCTGCCTAGTACGGACAGAAACGATATATTGACTATCATAGATGAGTACTCTAGATTCCCATTTGCGTTCCCATGTGAAGATGTTAGCGCTCGGACTATTGTTGCTTGTCTATCAGAATTATTCTCGGTTTTTGGTATGCCTACGTACATTCATTCTGACCGAGGGTCAGGATTTATGAGTGCTGAACTAAAGAGTTTTCTCTTACAGAAGGGTATTTCAAGTAGTAGAACAACTAGTTATAATCCTGCAGGAAATGGCCAAGTAGAAAAATTCAATGGAACGTTGTGGAAAACAGTTTGCCTCGCTTTACGATCGAAAAATCTACCCATTATCCGCTGGCAGAGGTGATGCTGGATGCACTCCATTCGATTAGGTCTTTGTTATGTACGGCTACAAACGCTACTCCTCATGAACGATTATTTTCTTTTCAACGTAAGTCAACGAGCAGGGTGTCTGTCCCTTCATGGTTAGCTACACCAGGAAAGGTTCTACTAAAACGTCAAGTGCGAAATTCAAAGTTTGAACCATTAGTGGACGAAGTACATCTAATACAAGCAAACCCTCAATATGCTCACATTCGACACGCTGATGGAAGAGAGGATACCGTATCAACAAAATACTTAGCACCTCAAGGAGACTTAGGATTTCAAGACGGTACAACAACTTCTGCCCTCCAATAGAAGTTCAAGACACTACAATACGTCCCAGAAGACGCAAAGATAGAGATATCTACGCCAAAGGAAGAAGCGAGAGGAACAAATTCATATGATGAGAGTGTTGAACAGCAGTCGTCGCAATTACGACGTTCGGAAAGAAGAAGAAGAGCACCAGATCGATTAACTTATGATTAAAATAAAATAAAACAGAACGAATCAACTAACATTTATTAAAGTCATTCTATTACCTTGAGTTAGTTAAGGATTATTATATAAAATTTAGCTACATATATGTTTAGGAATTTTTTTTTTGTTGTTAGGGTGAATGAACTGAATTCATTATGAAATTTAAATATACGTAAATGTAAATAAGTATGCCCATTATTTAAGGAGTCTTTGCATTGAACTCCAGCAGTGTTGTGTAAAACCTCCTTAGTTTGTATATAGAAGATTTAATAAATATTTGATAAAACTTTTACATCAAACTTAGAGGTGACGACTGCTAAGGAAGTCAAAACGTCATCAACATCAATAACTGTAATAACGTAAATGGTTTGAAGCCTGGCGTATCGTTACATGTTTCTAAATGTAGATCGTCATGGTTAGTGAGTCTTGATAAAGTCAACTTGAACTTAGAGGTGATGACGACTGCTAAGGAAGTCAAAACGTCAGTCAACACCAACAACAACAGTCCTTCTCTTGACTCTACTAACCTGTACGATCTACATCTACAAACATGTGAAAATTTGACATAGATAAATCATTTGTAAGTAAACTACTTATTTCCACCAAAGGTTTTGCGAACCTTGTACCTCCGTAGTTTCTAGCACTTCAACAGGACAGTATATTGATATTTACTGTCTCGATTCAAAGATAAGTCAAACTACTTATTTCCACCAAATGTTTTTGCGAACCTTGTACCTCCGTAGGATTTCTAGCACTTCAACAGGACAGTATATTGATATTTACTCCCTCGATACAAAGATAAATCGTTCGTTCGTAGGGCCGAACTGCCACTGTAGGATTCGAATGGAATATGAATTTCAACAATAGGTTGCAACTAAAAAATACGTCAAACATGTCAAATACATCGTAAATATGAGTGGACAACAATTAATAAAATTTATAAAATTCAAATGTTGCCAGTGAGGTGCTAGGTGTGAATCAAATTCTTTATATAAAGATAAGATCCCAAAGATAATGTTTGAGAAAGCCATCTGCATTTGATTTTTCAGTATATATTTAAAAAAGCAAGCGACGTTTAGTCTTGACTCAAGACATATCAGACTAATTACATAGACTTACTACGATGCTCAAAAGTTTCTGTTTATTACTTTTACTTTGCTGTGTGCCCTTTTACAGATAGCAACTATCTATAACTTCCTTTTTTCTCTTCAGATCTTAAAAACTCTTAAATTGGTCTTTGAATAGTTGGAAGAGGGAGGGGGTAATGGTGAGAATGCACGTCATCTCAGCTCTTTTCATGGTAAATTCCCCCCATAACTCATCCCCCCTTATACCTTGTACAATCTTTCTTACATTTCCTTACAATACTCAATATCAGCTTTACACTGTAAGTACACATCTACACAAACCTCACACCTTAACTATCTAAGTAATTACATCTCATTTAAAGATGTCTTGAGTCGAGACGAAACGACAAACGTTATTTGCTTTGTTTTAATATATATCATAGAAATCGAACGCTTATGGTTATCTTTGAAACGATCTGTTGGACTCTAACCTTTAGGGTGATAATTCAATAAAAATCTTTAATATTTCAAACATGTTACCTTCTTCAGTACATAAAACACTGTCTAATTCTTGTTGATCAACGTTATCAACGTCGTCGTCGGCGCTCAGAATTCACTGTAAAAAGAAAAAAACGACAAACTATTGGTTAATTTTGACTTCAAAATATCATTTAATTTCAATAAACATCGACTACAAATCATCTAGAGTTGCAACTACGTAATAAGTACCGTGCTTATAGCCATGCATTAAAGTCAATAACGAGCAAAATTTCTGTTCAACGAGAATGATCATGACGAAGTAAGAGATTTTGAACTATACAATGTCACATGTGCAAATGCGTCATTATGTCGTAACAAAACCCCATTATTCTTTGCGGACGCAGACGTGGTGCATAATAAAAGTGAAAGCCGTTAAGGAGAGTAGCCTTTTGTCATTTCTCAAATAAATATGTTGACTGATGACTCTAAGCGATGAAAGAAAATGCAGTCTACTGCTGTCGACACCTTAAGAATAAAATTGAATTTCAACAGATAAATTTTCAAAAACTTTTTGATTTTTGAAATAGAATTTGCGAACAATCATCATACATAGCGCGCGTTTGTTCATTTCACATCAAAACAATTGTAGAATCACATATATCAACTATTGTTACTTAAAAAACGAATATCAAAAATTCATCAAACTTTGCAGTGATTAGTACAACGAAACATGTAACAATAAATTCAGATTTGGGAAGTGTTATGTCCCAACACTTCTAGGAGCGAATGTTTGTTAAATGATTTTTATCTTCTGTCGAAGACTCGAAGATATTTCGATCTTGTGGAAGCTGCTTTCAGTTAACCTCTTAATCTCAAGCAGTAACTAACGGTGATTTACATTGACTAGTCTTTGGGATCGCATGTAATTTTGCATTGCTTACAATCATTCATACAATTTATCAAACTTTTAGCAACATATAGATAGCAAATGTTCACGGAAATAATCTTAACAATCTGTGACAAACTGGAATTCGAATTCAGGAGTTCGTTCCCATGTACTTTACTTATCTCATTGAAATTCGAAGAACAAATCCTTAATACATGATATTTACCTTTTGATGAAAATGCTTTGCACAATTTTATCGAAATATTCGTAAGGCGTCTTCTCCAATGAATACGATGACTAGAAAATGAAAGTATTGATCTCAGGAAGAATGTCATATGATCTCTGCGCGACTAGAAATACTATATGATTAAATATCATGTGTATAAACTCACGCTAATTAACCTAATTTCTTTCAATAATTGACGAAAATTAGTCAATTTGATAAAAGAATTTTTGGTTTCACAAGAATTATTCCACAATATACAGCATAAGACTTCGGTAGAGAAATTTTTTATTTCACAGTAAATGCTACACGCAAGAAAATACTGGATATTAAAAGTGCTAATTTAATAGTCAATTGGTAAAGAAGTGACGACAATAAAAGTGTAGATTTTAGGGAGGTCTGGTAAGGCGGCCATCAAAGATATTAAAGAAAGTTGAAACATTACCCTGAAAAACTCAGTTCAACTGTATTACAGATTTGTTTCGCTAAAAATTGAGGGAATTAAAATGTTTCCGACAGGGGTGTGCAATTTATTTTTGGGAGTTAAATCTAAAGTTTGCGTGCCCCACCCTGCACCCCTCCTCAGTAAATCTGTCCATGTTTTATAGTGGTTATCTCATTAATGGCAGGAGAAATGGTAAAGCTGTAATGGAGAAAGTTCTTTTAAAATACTTTTGTTTTCTTGGATTACAGTAAATCACTCTACAAATATTGAATAAAGAACAATTTTTCGTTGAAAGAAAACTTACATCGTCGATAAGGAAACAATTCTTATACTAATTCTTCCTAAGTTAAAATAGGAATAATAGTATATATCAATATATGAGTGATTATTTTACTTTTACTGCAAATTCGTAATAGTTAATTTTAACGTTGCCAACAAATAGCGACACTCTTTTTTAAGCAACATTTTTCAAAGATGAAAGTTCAACGTACACCATGTCATGAAGAAATTTATATTGTATACGAATGAACGTAAGTTGTGATCTAAACATGTTTTTGCTCAATAACCACATACCCAGAACTACATACGTTGTCTGTGAATTTTAGATAGGTGTGCTAAATATACAATGAAAAATATTTGCTACATGAAAACTTTGCAAAGAACGTGAAATTAGCACGATAATTAATATCTCATTGTTGGTCATATATAAGTAGTTAACGGTTTAAGCTTGTACATAGCTACATAGTATCGCTTGTAATTGTTGGCAGTATTGAGCACATGCTCTGTTCTACAGAAAAAAAATCCCAGTCTGCTTTCAAGACATCTATCAACAGGCTATGTTGATTTTGTAGAACTCATTTCTTTAGAAACTGTCAAACGTTTGCCACTCGTCAGTTTGTACATTATAAATTTCTTACAAATTTGTAATTTTTACATACCGTCTTCAGAATATTCACTGTCTTTGCCATAGGATTCAGCAGTCTTTAGTTCATTTGTTTCATTTTAAAATTCTTGAGCAAAGAAATTTTGTCTTAAAGAGTTTCCAGCAAGAGAAACGTGTGCTAAAGCACAATATTTATACATGTGAAAGACAATAAAAATGTAATTTCTCAAGACAGTGATAATGTGACAAATATTGTATTCATTTGATTTACTAGTTAGAGCAATAATTACCAATTGGGAATAATAATGTGTAGTTTTGACAAACCATAGAGGAAGATGTGGCACTGGAAATTTTTTTTAACCAGTCTTTCTTAAGTAAATTATCTTAATTGAAAATTTTTTTATTACTTTGTGGGTGCTTGGTTTATTGTAATATAGTTGTTTTATGTCAGGGACTTAGGAACTGAAACATTTTTCCCTACAACTGAACGATCTTGATGCATAACAATTTAAATATGAATGAATTATGTAAAATGACTTGTTTGAAAACATCTGTTTGGAGCATACATTTTTCATACAGTGGTTATTTTGGCAATTGTGTGGTAATGTCCCAAAATTCAAAATATAAATACTATTTAAGTGACCTTTACTGAACAGTCCACCTATATTAAGTAGACATGGTCACCTTTTTCAAGATTTAAATTTGATTTTTCATTGTTCAACTGTATTAAATGGTTGGGTGAATTAAAAACTCAACACATATAACAATTAGGCATTTAAAATTAACGACAACTTTTTTATTATAAACATCAACTTATATTAAGTCAACTTCAGTAGACTGGAAAGTCGAAACATGTTTATAATAAAAAATTTTGTTGTTTATTTTAAATCCATAATTAATTTGGTGCTTATGAGATCATACATACATACATATAACAATTTATAAAACCAACACATACAGTGTTTTGTGAAGAAGCAAACAATGCCATGTTCCAACAGATATTTCAGAATGCAAGATTAGTAAGGGATGTTGTGTGACTGGTAACTTTATAATAAGTCTCAAAGTATATCAAAGTTTTGAAAAATATAATTGTATTGGGCATTAATTTGATTAAATCCAAACTGAGGTTGTTGCTTTTGTTTAAATATTTTGCTACCATTATATTCAAAGATGTGTTGTCTCATTTAACACATAAACGAATGCAGCGTTGATAAATTAAAATTTAAAATAAAATGAATAAAAAAAACAAATGTGTTGCCTTTTGGTCCTTCTCAACTAAACCTCAATAACAATGACAACATTCTACAGCATAATTCATAAAATGTTCAAAATTACTGTTTCATTTATGACCAAATATAAAATAAAATGCACTCGCCAGATAATTTTGTTCAAAATCTATATTATAAATCATTAAAAAACTTTACTTACCACTGTACGTTTTACAGACATTAATGACGATGTGTTTACGGAATCATGAAGCATGCGACGTTTGAAAATTGCATCGCTCGCGCGCACATTCTGACGATTTCTTTCTCTTTCATTTCATAAATTTCATACACACATATATTTTTCATAGCTCATACAACCAAACAACCAAATAAACGATGACAAAAACACAAGATTAATGAAGAAAAGTTAAATCACGTTTTTGTACGACTACTTCCGCTATTCCTTCAAGACTATTGCTTAAAGGGAGGGAGGTGAAATGTTAAATGTTTTGGGCTGATGATATTCTTTATCAGTTGATGTTTGCATGTGAAAAGAGCGCAATTTTTCGATGTGTATTTTCTGGTAATAACTCATACAATACAGATCCTATAACAAAATAAAAGGTATAGTCATTTTTTAACCTCATGGTTTGCCACAGACCACAAGTACTAGGGCTTCTTTATTTCAAATTTGGTGTTACAGTTGATGAAATTAATAGAAAAGATTTGTTTAGTTTGTAACACGCTCCCCATTAATTTATCTCATTTCCTCATTTTTCTTATAACTTATCCAAATTTAAATCTCTCATTGTTACTGTATCATAATACTTTTATAAACCCTGTATTTATTTATTTATTCACTCATACTGAAGATGGCATCATGAGCTGTCAAAACATGTCTATTTTCAAAAAACTCGTTGTCTATATTAAATGCCAAACAAAGCAACTTGCATCATATTCTGCAAATTCACTATAGCGGCGATTGAAATAGTTGATCATCTTGCTTTTATCTTGGCAATATCTTGCAAAATGATTCAACTTAAAGCCCTTCGAGCATTTTTTTTCCATAAGTCTTGCATTTCCCTCGCTTGTGAGTGTAAGAATAAAATTTACAGTCTTTTAGTAGGGATTTATAATAACTGAATGATTCTCTGCCAATGTTTTTCTTTTTGTTTCTCGTGAATTTTCTCTTCTGTATACTGTCAATATATTCTTTACATGTTTGTTAATGTAGATCGTCCAGGTTGGTATAGTCCTGAGAAGGACTCTTGTTGTTGTTGACTGACGTTTCAATAACCTTAGCCGCAGAGGCGAAACTAGAACGTTAATTGGGGGGGTATATATTCATAAATTCAGCTCTGTTATGCTGATTTCTTTTGATTGCGATGTTAATTTCAAAGAAATCAGCAGGGGGCTGAATACATGAATACCTCCCAAATAACGTTCTAGATTCGCCCTGCTTAGCAGTAGTCATCTTCAGAGTCAAAATTCTATTTAGGGCCGAAACAGGTGTCGGTCCTTCCATAGCATCCGGCAACCAAGTATGTAACCCTAATTGAGCAGATTTTCCTACAGCCCCTATAGTTAATAATATACAAATCCAAGTACAAGCTGAAGATGGTGATAAAGCCGGAGTAAAGTACAGTAATCTACTGCCCCAAATTCTTTCCAGATTAATATAATAGCCAGCATTAATCCTATGTCTCCTATTCTATTGATTAACATTGCTTTAATTGCCGCCTTATTATGCGCGTAAACCAAAAGTTGATTAATAAATAAGAACATAAACCAACACACTCCCAACCAATAAATAATTGCACATAATTATTACTAGTAATTAAAATTAACATAAAAAAGGTAAATAAAGACAAATAACTCATAAACCTAGGTAAGTGAGGATCTTCTCTCATATAACTTGTAGAATACACGTGAACTAACCCGCTAATTGTTGTAACTACAATTAACATTACAGCTGTTACCATATCAAATTGTAGGCCAAAGCTAGTTATTAGTAAATATGACTCTATCCATCTGCCTAACTCTATATATACTGTAGACCCATTAATCAGGATTTCATAACATAACACAAAAGGAAGGAGACTACTGACGAGAACCCACACAGAACTTAACAAGCCAGCCCCCTTTCTTCCTAAATAGTGACCCCCTAATCCGCTTCCGACTGCGCTTAGTAATGGTATTAATATAACTAGAAGAAATCATGGGAAGAATACATGGGAAGAAATCTAAGATAATCAAGTGTACTAATTGAAAGAATAAACTAAAACATATTATAATTGTTAACACTAAATATAAACTTGCCCCCATTAATATTGCCTTGCCTAAACTTGTTTCCTCTGGTGTTACATTGCCACATGGAGAATTTAATATATTTGTTATTACTAAAGGCGTAGACAAAGGTTGATAGAACATAATTTTTACTAATCTAATGTAATAAACTCCAGCTACCACAGAACAAACTAAAGCTAGTAAAGCACTGAGATAGTAACCTTGACCAACAACTGCTAAAATTACATACCATTTGGTTAGAAACGCAATTAAAGGAGGAATTCCTGCAGTAGACAATAAACCTGTAGCTAATGCTAATGCTAACATTGGGTTTAATCTTGAAACACCACTAAGTTTAATAAGCATGTTTCTTTTAGGGGATATAATTAGGACTCCAGACCAAAGTAATACTTGAGTTATTATGTAAGCATCTATATACATCAAACTCGCCTGAAGACTTTCTATAGACCCAATAGCTATTCCAAGTAACACAAACCCCATATGGCCTATTCCGCTATAAGCTAGTAGTCTTTTTATTCGAGTTTGATTCAAAGCTCCTATAGCTCCAACAATCAAAGAGATTAACCCAGCTATTAATAGCCCCATTTCATTTAAGCCTATTTGTACTAGAATAGCTAGTACTCCTAATTTAGGTACAATAGATAATAGCGCAGCTACCCAAGTTGGAGCTCCTTTGTATACATCGGGGGCCCACATATGAAATGGGGCTGCAGACTTTAAATAACAATGAGATAGTAATAAGACACTTACCAGCTAATACACCATGATTCTAAACTCATACGAATAAATTGAAGTTCAAGTTCTCCTGTGGAGCCATAATTTAAAGTACAACCAAACAGAAACAACCCCGACGATAGTGCCCTAACACAAAGTAGTTAAGTCCAGATTCTGCCGATAACAATGAGCTTTTATTATAAGCCACTAAGATAAACATACATAATGTTTGCATCTCTAATACTAAATATATAGAAACTAAATTTGTTGACCCTATAAGTAATAAATTACCTAAGATCTCTAATAAAATCAATAAAGAGCTTGATCGATGCGATGTTTGATGGTCCAGCATACATAGTATAGCTAATCCACTTATCATCACCAACATTTTAATAGCCTGTGTCCAACATAGTAAATGGGGCTCAGTTAATAACTCAGTAGCCCCACAACCCCCAAGTAGTATAGCTAATCTTAAAGTCGGGGCTTTTAATCCATATGTCAACACTATTAGTATAATGAGCCCTAGTGTTAATTCCATAATATTAGGGCTATGCACCCACATGGCATATGCCTTGTTAATCCCTAAACCTTTTGTTTTCCTTCTTTGCAGCAACCAGAAGTTGATTACGTCGATGGGGCCAATATAGTCAAGCATCGCTGAGACCATTCCTTGCGTACTAGGACTCAGAAAAGTTGGGATTGATCATTGTAGATAGAAACCGAACTATGTCACCACGCTCTGAAATCAAATCATGTACGGTTTTCATGGTCGAACAGATCAACCTAAGGTACCTTCTACAGCACCAGGGCACCGCAATTCAACATCAAGGTCGCAAACATTGTCCTCGATAAGAACTCTCCGACAATATTACGATGTTATCCCTACGGTAGCTTTTATCCGCTTTCGATATTTATTTTGGACTATGATATCTGGTCATTGTCGCCCAAATAGGACTATGTCCTTGTGCTAGCTAGGGGTGTCCCCCTCACTGTCAGGCTAATGAGATGAGCTTTTTACCAATAAGCTCGCCTTCGTTTCTTATTCAAAGTAGTCGCCCCAACTAAACTGTCTTACCAACAAAATTACTAACTCAAAATTAGGATACTTGTATCGATCATTTTTAGTCAACATTATTGGTATCCAGTTTACCTCGATAGGGTCTTTTCGTCTTACAATGATTATGTAGTATCTTCACTACAACTATAATTTCATCGGCTTTCCTCTTGAGACAGTAAGACCCTCGTGGTTCCATTCATACCCGCCAACAATTAATTGGCTATTTATTGTGCTACATTATCACGGTCAGAGTTACCGCGGCCATTCAGTTGGGTTTCGTTTTAGACGTTAGTCCTTAGTTTCACTATACAACCATTGGGCAGAATTCACCCTCTATACTTCAGTAACCTTTAGCAGAGAGCTATGTTTTTGGTAAACAGTCGAGATCTTATTTTGCCGAGTTCCTTTAGAATTATGCCTTGATCTAAGTCCCATAATAACAGTTGAAGGTACAAAATACCATAATATTTTCCTGAACAAGTACAAGATTATAATTCATCGGGCGTAATGCCCTTAGAAGCTGTATATAGATTTATTTGGGAGTGAATCTTGTACTACTCATGCCTGCATTATCACTTCTGTTTGTCTCACGAAGTATGCATATCGTGCTTACAGAACGCTCTACTACCAAGCCAGTTGCTTCCTTATGGTCTGACTTCCAGAATTTTAGTTACAGATTTAGCCGCCTTGATTTTAGAGTTTTCTAGCTCATTCAGTAACTTTTACGTTTTCCTGTACAGATGGCTCTTTCAAGCCTACTCCTGTTTGTCTAAGTTGAACCCTCTTTATACACTTAATCTGTATTAGTGACTTTAATTTCTGGTGGGCACGCTCTTTTGACTAGAAGCCTTATCGCTATAGTCTTACTGCACCAGTAATTCAAGCCCCCGGGTTTGGGGGCGAATCAACTTGGGGCGCCTTACTAAGATAAGTTTCGTAGAGAACCAGCTATATCCAAGTTCGACTGGTATTTCAGCTAACCACAGCTCATCCAAGATTTTGCCACAATCACTGGTTCAGTCAGCAAATAGCTACCTGACCATGGTTAGATCACTTGGTTTCGGGAATTTGACTTACGAGTTTTTTCTCTTGCTTTCACTATGCCTTCATTAATACTTAAGCTTGCAAATTTTGTCTTGCAGGCCCATTATGCAAAAGGTAACTTTTAGAACCAATTCTGAGTCTTTCCCTCACGGTACTTTCTCTATAGGTGTCCAATCATCTTAATTATCTGTTTGAG